TGAAGTTTCTTTTGGAGTTTGTATCAGGATCCGTAAATAATCATTAATTATTTTGTAACAATAAAATCGTGCTCAAAGAGCAATCCTAAAAAAAAACTAAACCAATACATTTTTACAATTTTTACAATTTATATTTAAACCTCGAAGGAAAATGGTGATAGCTGTGAAAATGGTCCGGAAATATACTAAGTCGACCATGAAACATATAAGCAATATTTTTGCAGATTTATATAAATTAAAAAAAAACAATTATTTTTGTATTAATAAATAAAACTCTAATAATATCATTAGAAAATAATTTTTTTGGTAAAACTTTTAATTATACGGTCCCTGGTCCCTGATAAATAGGTGACCAAAATTCAACGGTTTAGGCAATACCCAATTTGAATTTAATTTTCGACGTAAAGGCAATCTACTAGTCCGGCGCAAACAATATTTTTTTAAGATTAAAATAAGTAAAAGGTGGCGCCATCACAGCCGTTATCCTGACCCTTTTTTCGATAATAAAAGGATTATAGATATTAAAACATTTTTCTATAAACTCTACGCACCTGCGCGGCGTTAGGGTCAAAATTCAAAATCGCCGTGAATAAAGATTATTATTTTTATTTTAGAACTTACTTTTTCCTATTCTAGACCATATAAATTAATTTTTAAGCAAAGAACAAAAAAATATGTATTTCCAATTTTTCGGGTGGATGCCCTTGGGTTGAAAAAATATATAAAAAGCATAAATAAAGAAAAAAATAAACAAATACATAAGATTGCTTTTATTTTCCTAAGTTTTGACCTATCTATTCGATCCTTCTTACATTTTCAAGAGATTTAGAGATGTTATAGATTGATATTTGTAATACTGAAATGTTGCATGCAGCTTCTCGTGTCAGAAACAACATATTTGATTGCTGAGGCCAGCCTTTCGGATGATGCTGGCATGATAATGTAGTCCTATGCTAATTTAGCTATCCCAGGCGAAGTGTCCTTTTGTGAGATGCAAAACGATAGTGGATCACTTTCCCAGGATGCAAATGGTAGGCTTAAAAACAATTACAGCTTCTGATTATTCTATACTTCCTGGTGGACTCCCTTAGTTTGCCGCGTTGCTATTGACGGGCGCCTTAAGGAATCTTTAATTGTTTTAGTCCGCAACGCCTTCATCTAACGGGCTCCCAGTCGAAAAGGTCAGTAAGTTCAGTATTAAATAAAGTGAAGTGGAATTTAGTTTCTTTATATTTTGATTGAGGCAAAGATGAAGAAGCGCACCAGGAGAGTGTTCAGAGGCGACTATTATATATGGGCAATTCTAGGGAGTACCTCGGGACGTTCGTACACTTTTAAAATAAAAAAAAGTTCAAAGTCAAAGAATTTAAATATATGAAGGTACAGTCTTTGCCCTTGTGATCCATTTTCGTGCCCACTGCCTTGCTCAGCCGAATCAATCCGAAGAAGTCTCCGAACACAATTGGTTAGGTTCGCATGGTTGGTTCTAAAAAAATCTTACTTCTTTGGGTATATCTTAAAACTCGCAATTTGTGCGCGATCTTTAAGTCCTCTTAAGCCCTTTTGGTGTTTTAGTTTACTGGCAGTTGTCGATAAAGACAGCGAGCTTGAGTGCCAAAATTATTTTCTCGCAAAACACAAGCAATGCTCAAAATGTTATAGATCAATTTAAATCAAAGCCCAAAGGACCAGAAACCGACCTTGTTTTCAGTAGGCTTTTCACAAAATCGCTTTGATGATGATGATGATAATAAATATTATTTTACCCTATCAAATATTCGAAAACATGTTTGAATATAATTGCCGAATCTGGAACACGAATGATCCAAATTGTATCTCAAGACAATAAGAATGAGCATTGAAAAAGCCCTCCCTAAATAGTAGTAAGTGTTGTCCTTTTCGAGCCTTCTGTACGGGTGTTCCTAAAATGAGCGCACCAGGAGAGTGTACAAAGGCGTCTATTATATATGGGCAATTCCAGGGAGTACTTCGGGACGTTCGTACACTTTTAAAATAAAAAAAAGTTCAAAGTCAAAGAATTTAAATATATGAAGGTACAGTCTTTGCCCTTGTGATCCATTTTCGTGCCCACTGCCTTGCTCAGCCGAATCAATCCGAAGAAGTCTCCGAACACAAATGGTTAGGTTCGCATGGTTGGTTCTAAAAAAATCTTACTTCTTTGGGTATATCTTAAAACTCGCAATTAGTGCGCGATCTTTAAGTCCTCTTAAGCCCTTTTGGTGCTATAGTTTATTGGCAGTTGTCGATAAAGACAGGGAGCTTGATAGTGCCAAATTTATTTTCTCAGAATACACAAGCAATGCTCAAAATGTTATAGATCAATTTAAGTTAAAGCCCAAAGGACCAGAAAAAGACTTTGTTTTCAGTAGGCTTTTCACAAATTCGCTTTGAAAAAAAATGTTAAGGAGGTTAAAGTAAGGTAATTCGAACCCCATTTAATCGGACGTCCAATCTGAAGCCAATAATAAATATTATTTTACCCTATCAAATATTCGAAAACATGTTTGAATATATTTGCCGAATCTGGAACACGAATGATCCAAATTATATCTCAAGACAATATGAATGAGCATTGAAAAAGCCCTCCCTAAATAGTAGTAAGTGTTGTCCTTTTCAAGCCTTTTGTACGGGTGTTCCTAAACAGAGCGCAAGGCCAAAAGCAGATTTCCAACGTTTTCGCCAGCTGGCCTATACCAAGAGTCCAAAAATAAAAACAATAGAAGCGCAACCGTCTTTTGCCATTCCTTCGCAGGAATGATCCATCTGGCTGGAGGTGGCCTGAAACAGCTCGGATTATTGGCTTTCATCGGTGTGACCGTACCCGGTGCACCATGGTGTGCTATGTGGGCCAGGGTGTGCTATGTGGGCCAGGAAAAAATACTGAAATCCCAAAATATTAAACTATATTTCTTTACAAATATATGGAAATGGAAACAGTTCCGAAATATTTTAATGTAGCTGCGCCAACATAACTTTTCCATTTTCCATAAAGAATTCGTTTAGGATTTGAACAATTAGTTAAACATATATTTACTTTTTCTGAATTCACTTGGTATGGCAGATTGACAATTTTACCACATAGGTCAATTTTTAAACTTAAAAAAAACTTTTTCTAAGTCTTAAAATAATATGTGCTATAAAAAGGGTTAAAGCAATAACTTATTTGAATGATAAATTCGTTCAAAGTAGATATTCTATTTAGATATCCTAAATAAAATAGAATACATAAAAAAAAATATAATATAAATATATAAATAATATAATATCATTTCAAAGGTAAATTCGCATATAAATGTTTTCTAATGTACTTGCTACGGTTTCAAGCGCAGTGCGAACACATTACTATCTGCGCAAAATTGCGTTGGGAACCAAACCGTTGGTACTGCATTTCCAGCGAATACCAAATCCCACGAATTCGTTTTTTTAGTATTATTGTGTTTGAACGTAAGCAAACGTAAGCACCGTAAGCGTCCGTAAAAAAAGGGAGATAAAAGATTTCTGCTCTTCCTCTCCGAAAAGAGAGAGCATGAGCGAGAGAGCAGCCGCCGGGAAAGAGATGGAAAGCATCGATGCTGGCGTACTAAACATCGATTACCGATGCTTTGAAAACATCGACGACATCGATGTTAGCATCGATGCTTTGAAAACATCGATGACATTGTTAACATCGCTGTTTCTCCACCTCTATTTGTTTGTTGCGCACTAGAGGTGTCAAAACATCGATGTATTGAGACATCGATGTTTTCGATGTTTTTCACCCAAAACATCGATGAAACATCGATGTTTTAAAAAATAAAATTAAATTTTGGTAATTCTTAAATAGTCGGGCCGGAACGACCCGACTAATTAACAAAAATCCATATTTAGAGGGCGATGAATCATGAATTTTGGTGTAAAAATTATTTTGGGGACGCGCTTAGTTTAGCCAGGAGAAATTTTTAAAGTTTGACCAAATTGCACTTAAAAAACCGTTGGCGATCGCCGAAAACCAACAGCGGGCACGCACACAGACACACCACACACATAATTTTACGTTAATGTTAATGTCTTTGCTTTTTTCTTATTGTTTTTAATTTTTGTTTTTGTTGGTTTTGTTTTTAGTAATTTGCAATGATTTAAGTTGCATTTAACATGTGTGTTTTAAATTAACACCAATAACTGTAAGTGTATAAGTGAAGACTTATACACAAAATACACATACATTTATGCTTATATGTGACAAATATATAAATCATTTGAAATTTGCAACTCTTTAATGAATATTATGTAGCCCTGAAAAGGGTCAATTTGGTAAAGAGGGAAACGGCACAGAAACATCGATGGTTGAAAAAAAACATCGATGATTTAGAAAATTTCAAAAACATCGATGCATCGATGTTTTCATCGATGTTTTGACACCTCTATCGCGCACGAGATTCGCGGCTCCATCGGACGAAATTTTTTAAATTAAACGTAAATAAAATTGAGTGCGAAGTAAGCCTCTTCGAATAATAATATCGCTCGATTCCGCAAAAAACTGAGATCTGTGGTGGGCGGGTATAGGGCAAGATAAGGTGCGTGTGTATGAAAAACTTCAGCCCAGTGACCTTGAAAACTGAAGTTTGTTTTTTCTCCTCCCACACTTCAGCCGACATTTTAACGCGCAAATGTTCGGCTCGCCATCCCGAAAACTGCAAATTCGCAAAACGAAATCGCAACCAAAAGCTAGCGTATTGGATTCCAATATATTATTCCCTTACGAGGTGTACGCAAAAGGTTTCCTCTGACATCATATCGTTGGCATACCATACAGAGAGAGATAAAGAGAGCAGCGGCGGGTTTTTGCGTGATTTGCCCGATAATCGTGTTCAAACTGTGCAATTAAAACAAACAACTAGTGCGAGCATCAATTAATAAGCAACGTGAAGTGGATGTGTACACAAACTTATTGTTTTGATGTTGTATGTTTCGTGCGATTTAAGGGAGAGTGAGCGAGAGGGTGCGTGAAAAGAGCACACGTGGATGGGTTGCCAGATTGTTGGGAGTGCTAAGAGTGGTTCACACGTCGCCATTTTCAGTTCGTAAAGTAAATCGGGTTTCAAACGGGAATTTTAAATCCTAAAATTATGCGAAGACAAGTGTTTTTTTTTATCACTGCCCTTTCCAATTGGTCAAAGTTGAAGTCTATTATACAGGTCTTTTGTTAATGTGCCATGTTCAAATGAAACCGTCTGAAACTTAAGAATGATTGAATAACATAAATTCTACTGCGCAGCTTAAACACCTATGACCTATTTTAAATACCCGTATTCATGACTTTGAGACTCAGCATAAACAGTCCTTTATCACAAATTCGCCTTGCGACGGTCTGGCAACGCCACTCGTTGGCCAGCATGAAAATGCGCAACTCGGTTTCTATTTCTATCTTTCGCATTTTCAACGTCTTTGTGATCGGTTGTTGTTGGGTCGCGGATGCCTAAACGTCGGTAGCTGAACGCCAAGCTGAATGGAGCACGGTTCGGTTAAATGCCCGATAAAAACCCACTTCTGCTGACTGGCCCCTCGCACGAAAATCCTTCGCCCAAAGTTGTATAACAAAAAAAAAAGAAGAGATTGAAAATGCGCCAATGTCAGAGTGTTTTAAAACAACATCTAATTGTGTGAAAAACAACAGATACAAACTACGCAACACGGAAATCGAAGGAAAACTTCGCAAACAACAACAGCAACTCTGTAGTCCTCCAATCTAACGCACACCGACATGCGTGACGTAATTGATGTATTTATTCTAAAACAAAATTCGAGGAAAATTGAGCAGCAAGAGCGTGCAATTGTTTGTCCCTTTCGACTGCCTGTGTAATTACCAATTGCAATTTGCCTTTTAATTTGAGTTTTGCATGCAACAGGGCGCGTGTTATTCCCCCACACACAAACACATAGGCGCAGGCACACACACACACACACCAGCACAGGGGCGCGTGAGAGAAAGGCAACCTGGTGAGGTAAACAAAAATGCGAAAAGTGCAGAGGGGAAAAACGATAACAAACAACAATCGCAAACAATCTGCGACTGGCTTTTCTCGCTTTTCCCTCTTCATCTTTCTCTCTTTATGTTCTCTCTCCTCTCTGGCAAGGCAAACGCAAACAAAAACAATAACAATTAGGTAATGTTTTTTATGCCATTCTCTTTTGCTCTCTTGCTTCGCACAGAGAGCGTTTTTTTGTGTGTGTGCTCGGTCTCTTTTTTTTCAATATTCGTTTTCCTTTTGTTTTCAAACTTAACATTGCACAGTGGGGTAGCAAGGAAGTTAATCAAAATAAATCCTGCCCTACCATTTTCAACTATCATCGATCAGTTATCAAAACTCTAATACCAATATATTTTTTGAATTACTCTAAAATATTTTGATTAAACTCGAAATATCCATTTTAATTCACAGTACTGTCCAGTGAGTAAAATAACGCCGTAATAAAATAACTATATAAAATATATTGTGAAAATCGATAGCAGCAAATTTTACTCTTAAGTGCAGAAAAGAAAGTTTTCGTCAAAATAATAAATAGTAAAAAAAAAGACAAGGTTCTATGTCTGCTATGAAAAACAATTTAACAATAACAACATTGAGTAAAATATTGAAAAAACAAAAATGCGTAGCATAAATGTTTTGAATTAATTGCCCCAACTGTAGCCGTCAGTTCCACTGTACGTTTGTGACGGTGGAAATTTTTGAGCGGAAAATTTTTTGTGTTTTGTAAACTGGCCCCCGCCTGATTATACGATGCGTTTGACAAATTCGAACACTACTTTATCGCCTTTCAAACTGTAGGCGAACGGCATACAAAACACTTAGAATGTTTGTTTGATTCAAATTAATCTTAATTTGTTATTCATTTTGTAGCGTTAAAAGAAATAAATAATTGATAAAAAAGCACCCGAAAATGTAAACGGGAAGCGCACGTTCGCAGCACAAATAACAAAAACATAAAATTAAAACGAAATATAAACGATATCGAGGGTGTATATACAAAAAGTGATTTAAATGTAAAACTTAACAAAAAAAAACAACAAGTTCGAGATATTCTGCAAACTTGAAGAGCGACAAACTTGAGAACGACAGCAGCAATTGAAAACGCTTAGCAACAATGTTGCACAATAATCGCGACAATGCAGAGCCAAAAACAACAACAACAGCAGCAGCAACAACAACAACAACAGCAGCAGCAACAACAACAACAACAGATGGCAATGGAACGGAGCCAACAATTGCAATTGCAACGCACTTTGCAACATCTGCCGCAGCAGAGGCAGAAACATCAGCTGGTGTAAAGGAAATAAATGCAACAGCTGAGGGTCAACCGCCGCCGCCGCTGACAACAGCAACAACAACAACAGCTGTGGCAGCGCGAACGGAATTGGCAGAAAAAGCTGATGCGGCTGCTGCGCCGTCGAATGCCGCTGCTGCATCGTCTGCTGCCGCAGCAGAATCGCCCGCATTCGATGCCCAGATGCGGACGCAGCAACGTCAGAAGATCAAGATATACCACGATGCCAAGCAGACGGCGGTATGGCGCACCGATTCCCTGGCCTCCAATCCCAGCTCGACCATGTGCCCGGATTTCGTGAGTTCCACAGCAGGAGGCGGAGGAAGCGGAGGCGCCACTGCAGCACCCTTGGGCCTGCCCATGAGGGGCATCATTCTATCGACGGCACCCAGTCTCCTGCAGCGAAAATCCTCGGACAGCTCGCTCACCTCGTCCACCGCCCGTCGCGTCTCGTTTCCGGATAACCAACTGGTCACCGGTTACCTGGAGCCGGCCAATCCTTGGAAGCAAGGTAAGTTTTGCAATGGGTCTTTAGTTAGATTACCTTAAAAGTCCTTAAAGTCCTTTAGGTACATTATATTTAGTGATTATAACAATAGTTCTTTATTATAACAAGAAGAATTAACGGATTTGTTATCTTTCATACCGAGGATATCTGGTATTAGGTATTACCCAACGTACTTTTTAGATACCGAAAGAACCATTTTGTATGACTTTTATCGGATTATAAACATTTAGTAGACTTTATAAACTTAAATGATACATTGCTTCACATAACTCGGTTTTATTATAGTAAAACATCCCTTTTTCATATAGATTCATAAAGTATAACAATTTTAACAGATATGATCTTTACACTTTCAAAAAGTAACAATAAGGTAACGCTAGTTTGTTACAAATAATGCACCATCGGTAATAGAAACAACTGGTATCGCCTTTACTTTAAAGACTGGGTGTTGCTGCGGAAACTAGACCTATATATCTTCCGGTTGTTCAGCATTCATTTGTACAGCGTTCAGTTGACAAATTGTCATTCTACAATCCCACTGGGAATCCGTGCTTTCGATCTTATCATAGGCGGCTAAACTCAAACACGGAAGCTAAATTCGAGACACATGATTAGCCGTTTCCACTTACTTCACTTCCTGTGAATTCATTTAATTAAAGCAATATATTTTTACGCATTGTAATGCGGGTGCAAAAAGGATCCGAGAGATCTGTCAGCTTTTATCAAGTGAAATAGATTTTCGAGAGAAGAATGAGAATTGCGGTGGTTGCCAAGTCGCTAAAATGCGCAGAAATATTTATTTACCTATGGGTAAGTGAATAGAGAAGGCGTTGCATCCGATGAATGCGTACTACTTGAACAACAAAAATCTATTGCTGTTGCTAAGCACAAAGAAAATGCTAGCGAATTCAGGAAGAGAACTAGTGCAGTTTACAATTCTTAATCGCACATTTATATGGGTGTAATTAAATGCAGATATTAATCGATCAAATGGAAATTTGAAAGCCCAGAAATTGCTTAAAAAATTCACAACAGGTTGTTTGTCTAAAAACTCATATGATTTTTACACTCAAAAATGTACGGGCTTTTCGTTTTGATATTGGTTGATCGTTGTGTTTATAGAATTCGTTATGTCGACATCTTAGTTTGTATATTTAAATACGATTTTCTCACTCAAATTAAAAGCTATTCATTCCATATTCCAATTGTTTAAAGAAATTTCTATGACTTTGTTTTTTGTTTATAGAAAATATTGCTATAATTTAGCCTATATGCACATAAACTATTTATAATGAATGGAATTAAATAGAATCTTTGGTTTGTTGCTACTATTTAACCGAAAGTCAAAAGCCATAGAAATATAAACCTACAAAACAAAACAGCCTGATTAGGACTGCTCAGAAAGTGAATAGCTTTGTTAAAGTCGCAAATTACTTTGTTTTCAAAAGTTTTTAATTTGTTTTCAATCCCCGGCTGTTAAAATGTCTGTCTTACCAAAATTGTTTTGAGTTTCCTTTGATTTTGTTATTTGTTATTTTCACGTCAGCGATAACAGAAATTGCTGATAAGATACGGTTCGGTTCGTTTTTCGTTGTTTTCATTGCTTTGGATTTCCAGTTTGCTCCAAGCTCCTCCTCACATGTTTTATTATTATTTTATTATTTGTTCGCCGTTGCTTTTGACCGGCTTTGCTTTTCGCTTTTGCTTTTGCTTTGCTCTTTTCTGCTCCGTTTTAACTTTGCCTTGGACGCCAATCGTGGGCTCCGCTTTGTGCCCGTCATTCGTCTCGTCGGAGTGTCTATCAATTTGTTTAAACGTTTGCGCCGTTTTTGTTTTTATACCGGTTAATCGATGTGCTAAAGGGTATACTGTATTCGATAAAAAGTATGCAAGAAATCGATTATTTGATCAATAGAACAATTATTTTTGAATACCTACAATATATCTACAAAACAACAATTTAATTCAAGTCATATTTAGAAAGGGTTTCGAAATTAATGATAACCCTTGGTTAACTGGTAAATTATTGGTTAAAATTGTTAAAGGAGATAGTGAAGGGTATCTGATAGTCGAGTTTCTTTTTAGCAGTGTAGAAGGTATCTGATATTCGAGGCACTTGTTGTTTTTGTTCATGTCTTTATCATTATTTACAGCTGTGTATATAAATATTTATTTTAAAATTGTTTAGCAGAGTAGAGGGTATCTGATAGTCGAGGCACTTGCTTTTTTTGTTCCTATCTCCATTATTATTTACCTTTGTGTAGGTGACACCCAGACACATATGTAAATTGTGTATTTTTATTTGCCTGCTTGTACATTTGTTTGTTTACTTCGATTCCTTTCTTGCCTTTGTTTGTGTCTTTGTGTTTGCACTCGTATTTGCTGTTCTTTTTTCACATTGTGGGTGTAGAAACTATGTGATGTCATCGTTGTCACTAAAACAAAAGCACTAAAAGAGAAGCCCACAGAGGAGACATTATGACAGACAGACATTCTGGCAGGGAAAGAAAAGAAAATGATAGCCACAGCTACACAATTGTATGTACATTTGTGCAAATAGGAATTCCAGCACTTCCCTGGTTTATCTGTAGAAGGTCCAATCCCAGTAAATAACCTCGATCCGAGACCTAAACTAGGTCAAAATATTTATTCAAATATTTACTTATTCGCAAGTATATAAAGTCTTTAAAGAGCTATTATTGACTCTTATATAATACTGAGGTGTTCGTCCTATATATTTACTGTGTTGCAAATATATTTACTTAGGTTGCAGTCTAATGCTTTCAGATACACTAATGTATTTAAGATTTTTAGAGGATATGTTTAAGATGCCCAAGTTCTTGATTTTAGTTTCGGATTTTTGTACCTGGTACTCATTTGTATAACCTTAGAACTTAAAAAAAACAAAGAGATTGCTTTTAAGCTGTTTAATAGGTGCATCAATTAATCAATCAACAAAAGAAGTAATAATGTTAATTTTTAAAACGTCGTCAAAACCTTGATCGATGATTTAATTTTGGGGACTGCATCAAATTCGTACGATTGAGGTACGTGTTACAAAAACAGCAACCTGAAAATAATTAATTTTAATACATTTTCTCATTATTTCTTTTGTTATTTTAATCTTTAAAATTCAACAATTTAACAATTAATATAATTAAATTGTTAAGACCTTATTTTACTGGCTTTCGAATTTTAAGTTAAACTAAACTCACATTCACTGGCTAGCAAAGCAATCTCAATCAAGCCAAGCAGTCAATGACATGAAAGATAATAACTAGAATATCAATTGCTGTGCAAAATGTCACGAGCTCGATTAGTGCACATTGGCGATGTAATTAATTTATGCGATTCAAAAACAAAGCAAAGCACAGGCAAGCTAAAAAGGGTATAATGAAAATTAAGAACGCTGGCCGACAGCCGGAATCGACGGACAAAGACGAGCAAATATGAGTAAGCTTTTTCGTAAATAAAGCAAATGTTTGCATTTTGTCAAAATGAAACTCGCTCCCGCCTCACATCACACACTTATTTACGAATTTCGGTGCGTGTTTATGGCTGACTTAAGGCGGTTTATTTATTTTACTTTTTTTTATTTACTTGGCTAGAGCTTTTGAGACGCTTATCTTTGTCAAAAAAAACCCTTCGTCTACTTTCTGGCCGGGAATTGTTACCCGATAATGACAAACGACCGATGGTCATGGCAGTCAATTTGTCAATTCAAGTCAGCGGCAGCCGGTTGATATCAAAAATCAGATAAGAGAATGAGACGTTTTCGAAAACAGGTTGGATGGTGTGACTAAAACTCTGAGACTCACTTTCCGAAATATAAAACCTGAAAATGTTGTTGGGATGGCACTAAAATATTTATAATCTGGTATTTTAGGTGGTATTTTTTTAGCAAAAAAATAATGTTCTATATTTTTTAGGGCAAAAGGAGTTATTTAATATTGTTATAATATATTTAAACAATACAATCAATTAGATTTTAGCCAACGGTAAATGCTGTGGTTATATTAAAAGTCCTATGAGACCATAAATAATATTGCCTTCAGCTTTAATTTCCTCTTTCTAACTCTTCCGATATCATTATAATATAAAATTGGTATTACCGAAATATCGTTTTTACATTTTCTAACATATCAAATTGATACTGAATTCCATCTAAATGACCATCATGTCTTATACATTTTTTTTCTGTATACAATCTAGTTGGATTACATAAATTGAGATCGATTACTTAAGGTCCCTGACTTGAAATTTTAAAGCCCACTTCTATTGTGTGTTGCCAACTCTAAATAAACCGAAATGCAATCATAAAATTAATGACAGAGCGGCGAGAACAAGTTTCTGACATTGTAAATGTTTAGCACTAAATTAACAGCAATTTAATTGGACAATTTTTCCGTGTCTCTTATGAGTGCTTTTCGCTTACTTATAGTTTTTCTCTATTTGTACATTCGACTTTTGCTTTGACTTTTGTGAGAATCAGCAACGTCAGCGGCAGCGGCGAAAAAGGCACAAAAATCAATAGAATAATAAAAAATTGAAAAGGCATTTAATAGACGCAGTCGTAAGGCGGCACGCGATTCCACAATGTTTGTATAGCCTTAGTCATTTATCATCAACGAGATCGATAGCCGCACATCGACAAACATACTCAAATCCCAGAGATTCGGATATTCCCATTTTCGAATATCGATCATAAAGGGTTTTCGCACTCTTAAAAGGCAATGTATTTTGTTTACCTTTATAGGCACACTATCTCTGTCAAAAGTCAAACAAATGCGAGTAAATAGTTGATGATGACAAATGGGCTTTATTTAGGAAATTTTTGCATAAAATTCTCAGGTGGGCTTGGCTTGTTTTTGTTTATAATTTTGTCGTTGCCCAACGTAACGATCAAAAATAGATCGCAAATTATAGAAAAGAAATGTTTGCATAACAATTTTAATGTATTCATTAATTGGTCAAAGAACCAACGAAGTCTTGATAATCTCTGATTTGTTATTCAATTTCTTTGCTAATCAGTAACAATATTTGGATTATGAATAAATTTACCTTCTTATAATGATGGAGAAATGGTTATATTTAAGGGTATTTCACAGTCTAAAGCATATAGTGGATGTCGATCTATTTCGTTATCCGTTCATTTATTTACTTGGAAAATTGTTTATGATTGCCTGATGCTTGTTGGAAATCCCATATGATTTTGTATCTTCCGTGTTTATATTCTACTTATTCCTCGCCTCGCAACTAACAGTTGTTGACCCATAAACTCAGCTGTCAAATGCCAATTTGATTGGTTTAAATCATTATTATTTATAGATAAAAATTAAAAACAAAAAAAAAACACTATTTCAAAGAGAAACGTCAAAAACTTGGTCGTCACATTGTCTGCCTGGTCGAGTGAAAATTCGTAATAATTCAGATTTCGAATTATTCTACTCAACGCTAATGAATCACTTAACAGATGTTGGTTTCCAAGGCAGCCTCGGTTTGGCGGAGGAGGACGGAACTATTATATAGATGAAATAGAGCTAAAGCACTTTTGACTGTTTGCCAAGATTGAAAATCTTTCGGAAACGGTGAAAAGATTTCTTGACAAAATTTTGTCTCTTTCTCTTTTTATTGCATTGGTATTCAGATGTTGGCATCCAAGTTTCTGGCAGATCTAAAACGAATCGTTTAATTGCCTTCTAACACCGATGTGGCGAGATAATGCAGTGATAGATTAAATTGTTTACGTTTTTCATAAGAACCCATGTTTGTCTGGGTGGAGGTGAGCGTTTGTGTGTTGCCAACTATTTTTAAGAAAGGTGCACTTGGCATTTGGCACAACGTTCTTCATTCTCTAGTTTGTAGAATCTAAATCGGTTTAAATACACCATAGTAACCCAAACATTCGCATGAATTATTATTAATTAAATCTCTGGCGACCCATATATTTTTGTGATACTTTGTGGGCACATCAAAAGCTTTTTATAAGAGTTCCTGTTGCTAGCAATAATCTATCATCAAATAGTAGACGTTGCCGTTTTCTAAATTTGGCTCCTCCAATGATAGACGGCAAACAAGATGTGTCCAACGCAAATGAGTTGCAAATTACAAGTTCACGATTTCATGTCAACCAACCCCTCTGGAAAAAAGCAAATCGTTTGGAAATTGCCGCCGCAATTTCATTTATTTGATTTTTTTTTTTGTGTGTGGACAATTTGTCTATGTCGCTCCATGTGTTTGATGCCGACGCCGGCAATTGTTGATGATCATGATGAGGATGCTGGAACTGGGTGATGAGGTTCAGGGTAGGGAACCAAACACTCGCACGCGCCATAAGTTCTAGTTATTTGTCATATAACACATTTTTTGCCAGACATATTTTGTGCCTTTTGACAATGGCGACACTTAATATGTTGGGGCGGATGAATTGGCAATAGTTTATTGACTCCAATACTTTATAAACAGTCGAATTCCGATCGATACATATATATTTGAAGATATCCATTAGCAGAGATACTTTGCTTGGGGTTTTTTAGTAGTTCGATGAGAGCTTTAAACGAAATATATGCTAGTTCCTTAAATTACACTATTTTAAAAGCTTCTATTAAGTTTTTTATTAAACTTTAATTTTTAACTAGTCTTAGCAATATAATAAAAATCAAGAATAACTTAATGAAATAGCTTAAATGGGTTAAATAGATAAGTTAGCGATATTTTATTAAATAAGTTTATTGTATCTTTTTAACGCTTTTAAGTTTTAAGTGTTTTTTCTTACACCTCTAACGATCCCCTTAAACTTTTACAGTATACCTTGTAAAGAGCATTTCTGAGATTGTTGACCAGTATGAGCAGTCATGTCGAAAGCATAAGACAACGCCGTTGAAGAGCGTAACGGATCACCTAAAGGGCCTGGATCTGAACCAGGTGCGGCAGCCTCTACTCCCCCTAAAGGCGAATCAACTGGCCGCCAACGATTGCGAAGCCCTCGAGGAAATTTTCAAAAGGGTAAGCAGTGAGTTCAAACTTCCTTTTCCAGACTCCGATCAATAATACACGAATTTTAACCTGTAGATACAATACAAATGCATCGATCTATCCGACTGTAAGCTGGACGAGAGCTGCCTGATGGCCCTTTTCCAGATGATCGAATACTATGAAGCCGCTGTCGAGCTGGACATATCATACAACAAGGAGCAGATGTCGAAGCGATGTTGGGAACTGTGTGCTTACATGGTGGAACGCAGCCAAGAGCTGCAGCTGCTCAACGCCGAGAGCAATCAGATTACAAAGTTGGGTGCCGACAGTCTCGGCAGGGCACTGGGCTCCTCCAATCTGCACACCTTAAAGCTGGAGCACTGCGGCCTCAGGGGACAGCCACTCGTCCATCTATGTAAGTCTACCTGCCTTGGGTTTAGTAATTAGAGATAACATTATCTTAAAAAAGATTCCTTATTATAATCCCAGAGTCCAATTGTATTTATTATATTTTAGTGTCATTTGCAGGCCGAGGTCTCTACCAAAACAAAATGCTCAAGGAGCTGTGGGTGGGCTTCAATGATCTGGACTGTGTGGATGCCCAGCACATAGCTGATATGTTGCGCTACAATCACAGCTTGGAGCTCATCGACATTAGCAACAACAATATACGAAACGAGGGTGTCATGTACTTGGTGCAGGCCCTCATCCTTCAGTCAACCGAGCTGGAACGACGAATGGGAGCCTTAAAGCGCACCCGTGCCATTGAGGTGGACGAGTGCGTGTCGCCTGTGGAGACTGAGCCCCCAACAGCCATTCCCCAATCCACCAACTCGTCCACCAGTCAAGCAAAAGACGCTGTCGATGGAGATTCATCTACGCACGTTACCTCAATTCCCGAGACACCGGGGGAGGAGGCGGCATCAACCGATCCAGCGGTGGGTGTTCTTGTTGACTTGGAGAACGATAACGACGACGAAAACACTGAGGACACTGTTCGCACCGTGAGAAATTGCAGTCAAAACGGCAGCGGACAGTCGATGCTGGACAAGCTGCTCTCCATGAACAGCGACAGCAGCAGCGAGGAGGCGCCCTCAAATATATCCACCGACACTCTGGCCGCCTGCTGCTCCGAGGACATCAGCGAGATCAGCAACGAGATTTTCGAACCCACCACCGCCAAACAGGCGCCAGCAGGAGACGAAGCCTGTTCGGCTATGATCTCATCCAGCCCGATGGAATCCGAATCGGCCGCTGTTGCAAGTGCAACCAAGGAGCCGCTATCCCCATCGCAACAACAACAGCAATGTTCCCAAAACGAACGCAACATATGTGGTAAAAAGGCCTTACTAAGAATTTTTATCGATCGATGCTTAATTGTTTCCCCTTGCAGATATTACTCCCTCAACAGAGGCTAAAACCGTTGAACCCAATGAATCCTGTGTACAGAACAACATCATAAACAACAACAATAATAACAATTCTAACAATTCCCACAACAATAGCAACAATAACAATACAATCCAATTGCCATCAGGAGCTGAAGCAGCAGCACACTTAGTCGTAGCGCCACCACTGGGGATCGGTAGCAGTCCCAGTGGTTCCTCGCCAGCGGCTATTTTTGAGGTCACCGCCGAGGAGAGCGACTGCATCAATGGCAGTGGGGCGGGGGCTGGTGGATCACGACCTCTAGACGTCAATAAAAACGCAAAGGTTGCAGACGACTTCGAGGACACGCACAGCACAGACTCGGCGTTCGAAAGCGCCTCCGAAGGCGATATAAGTCGCCACCTACCCGACGAGTTTAGCCGGCTTTCGGTGTCACTGGAGAGCACGCGGCTGGATGACATGGCAAAGGAGATGTGTGGCATCGAGACCGCCACCATTGCCACAGAATCCACCGAGTGTCTGCTTGCCGCCCAGGAGGCTGCGACGCCCACTCCTACGCCGGCAGCTCCTGCGCTGGACAAAAAGGAAGATGCCTTCGTGCCGCCAAAAGTAACCATCGCCGAGGAATGCCTGCTGATAGATAAAGAACTGAGCCCTAGCCCATTTTCGTCTCCCAGTCCGGCGCCCACGCCCCCACCACCGTCCACGTCGCCGGGGGGAGCCAGCATGGGACTACGCCGCACGGAGTCCAGCTGTGCATATCTTAACCAATCCACCCGCAATCGTTCCCAGAGCTCCGACAGCCTGTGCAGCGAGACATCGCTGGACGGGATGAGCAGCGGAGCTAGCAACAACAGTGTAAGCTCTACCGCCTCCGCCGATCCCAAGTTTGCCGAGAAGCTGACCAAGAATGACACACTTTCACGTCGCCAACTGGCCGAGGCCACACTGGAGGCCAATCGATCGCCCAGCGGGCTGAAGGCCCTCACCCTGTGGAACAATAATCTGACCAAGGACTGCGCCACAGCTGTTTCCGAGCTGCTGCAGAAGACCATTTCGCTGGAACTGCTCAACATTGGCAAGAATTGTCTCTCCAATGAGTTTATTTCAACCATTAAGGAAAGTCTGACGAAAAACACAACTCTGACCACATTGGGGCTGCAGAGTGCCCATCTGAGCGCCAAGGGGATCGAGACACTGGCCTCCATCCTTACCTTTGGTGGCAACAGCAAGCTCCAGCGCATTGACATCCGAGACAATAAACTAGAGGTGGAAAGTCTGAACATAATCGCCGAGGTGCTCAAGTCCAATAAAACGCTCACGCAGATCGACATTAACGATGAGCCCAAGCGCCTGACGGTAAGTTATCCACACCCGGAATCAGCTCTATATTATTCCATTGCCCATCAAGAGTCGATAAATCTCATCCGAGGCCACAGTAGAAGTTGAGTTTGTATTTCGTTGATAATTAAACGTTTGCTAAGCAAATGAAAATTAGTAAATTAGTCTGAATTGATCTTTGTTTGGGAGAACCCAATTTTTATGTTTTAAATATATATTCTTGGTAACGATATTTAAATCCTTCAAAGAAGTTGCATTCCTTAAGGCGTAAAGTACCTATTTAAAGTCACATTTGGCTTCTCCTTTGGCTAGTTAAAATCAAAAGAGTATTACGTTACCAAGGGTATATGAAGCTGCGGCTAGCCGTAGCTAAGTACCATGATATAATGACCCATTGCGATTTTGAGCTTGGTTCTGGATGGCTGTGTTGGACGTTGAGAGTTTTGATTTTGAATTTTTAATTGAATCGTTTTCATTTGTGGTCACTTGTCGTTGCCTCTCTCATCTCCGTTAAAGTTGCCCATAGTGCCGATAGTAAATGTTATACCGCCATCGCCATTGCCCCAGGAGAGCGTAAGTAAAACCCCACTCAATTTGCTCCTCCAACTCTCTGCCCACTTCCTCCTGTGCTCAACTGCTTGGCTTGCATCCGATAACAATGCTAGTAACAGAAACGCACTCTGCCCGCCTGGTTTTAGTAACTTTCGCAGCCTAAACCCGTTCTAACTTTTCACTCTAGTTGCTTGACTGATTCGTTCACTAAAGTAAACAAATATCAGTTGTTCAGTTGCTCAGTTATACCATAATGCTACTACTCAGCATTATTTGCTTTATCGAACTGAGCAATTCGACAACTAAAGTGAGCATCAGCCTTTTGTTTATTAAAAGATCAGCTATCGAATACTATTTGTAAATTACTGTTCCTGCGTGATTGATAACCTTATGTTTCTTATTTCAGATCGGCAGCGATGCCCACTTGGACTACACAAGGGTGCTGGGCACTGTTCGCTCGCTGTGCTCGCGAAATGAGAAGCGGCAAGCGCAGGAGCTGGCGGAGAAGGTGGCGAACGTGGTCGGTGGCGGCAGCAGTGTTGGTGGCAGTCTTCCGGGCATTCGGTGTCGCGGCGGTTACTACTTGGGCTCGCGGAAGATCTCGTTGACCTGCCACAGTCGCCCCCTTGTGGACGCGGCTACTGGCACGGTGACTGCAACGACAACCGCGACCGCTGCAGCAACCGCCATGCCCACACCGGCTGCCCTGCTGGAGGTGAAGCGAAAGAGCGGGCCCCGTCTCCGCTCTCCGGGACCCAGTCCGCCCACCATATCGCCGTCGTCCTCGCCCAACCGTAGCCGCTTTCACGTGTCCCGCGTGGCTGAAGTGGCCAGTCCATTGATCTCGCCGCTGGCCCAGCATCCGCCGCCGCACACGCCGCGCTCGGCCAGCAGCTGCATGTCCATACCCACCATCGGATCGCCTAGTGGCAGTCAGAGCAGCCTCGACACCGTTGGAGCCCTGCCCACCTCCAGTTCTCTGCCCGCAATGGCGTCTGTTACCTCCTCGACGCAGACGGTCAAGCGGCTGTCGGTGTCGCCCAGGTCTCGCTTCCATGTGTCTCGCATCTACGAGGATCCCCAGGTGCCGATGGCCAACCGAAAGATGCCGCCGATCACGCCGCACACGCCTCCAATCGACCTGCCACCCACTCCCATGCTGAAATCGGCAAGGAAGGCGGTTCTGCTGTCTGAGGCAGTGGAGGCAGCAGCTGCAGCGGTGCCCGTAAGCAGTGTGGTTATTGTAGAGGCGGTAGATGTTACCGACGCACATAATAGTACAAAAGTTGAAGAGGTATCGGGGCATACACTTTCGCCACACCTGACCGTATCACCCACCTCCAGTCATTCGAGCTCAACTTCGCCCGGAAGCAGCAGCAGTGGGAGCAGTAGCAATAGCAATGGTAGCACCTCAACCTCCACCGATGCTACCGACTCTGTGGCCTCCGGCCCCGAAGCTCCACCCAGGACCTGTCCCCTGGCCGTGTTTGGCGATAATGACATTACGTTGACCAAGGAATCGGCTGGTGTGGTTGCTCTCTCTGCTGCTGCTGCTGCGGCGGGCAACTTGAATCCAGTTATGGAAAGTGAATCAGAAGTGGTGCCGCCTTCCGAGCCCGTCAGCAATGCCCCACAGACTCGTACCCGGAAAACTTCGTGGATAGCCAATCCGTCGGCGGTAGACAAGCTGCTCACTTTATTCAACACGGGCACCATTTTCCATCGAAGCTCCTCGCCAGAACCCAAGGCCAGTCAAATAAGCAGCGTTCCCGCCACCAACTCGATCACAAACAGCGCACAGAGTTAGTTTTTCTTTATGTTGTTGATATTTAAAAGAAACTAAATATTCATTTTGTTCTACTTATCCACTACATTTTAAAAATAGCTTTTTAAAATAACACAGCTAAATTAGAGGATTAAATATTTAAAATATTGAACTTCATAATAACTATGGCTGTAATACCTCTAATTTCTTGCTTTGACAGACGCCACAGCGGCAAGCGTCGTAGGAGGAGCAAGCGGAGTCGACTCCAGTGGCAGCACCCCTAATCCAATTCTATCGGCTGCGCGGAAATCTTCGCCCGCATCGTGGACCTCGCTGACCGGTAGTAACATCTCCAACGCCAGCCAAAATACATCCTCACACACGGACACGGGCAGTTCATCCTTCCTCGACACAGCCTCCAGACAGTTGCGGGATTTTAGCAAGCAAGTCTTTCGCCAGAACATCTCCTTCAACAACAGCGGTGAACAGGCGGCTTCTGGTGCAGTTTGCCAACATGAGTTGAGCACGGGGACGTCGGCTTCAAGTAGCACGGAGTCGCCATCCCCGCCGGAGTGCAACACAGCTCACATTCCGCTCAGCCTAAAGCGTCAGCTGAAGGAAAACATTTCGCCGGAGCACACGATTAACGAGGAAACCCTTCACACGCTACAGAAGCTATCAAGAACAGAGGATGTGGCGCTAAAGGCAGAGGCGGCCACCGAACTGGGAGACATTGAGATCGTGATGCACAGCGAGGTAGCCGATTGCCATTTGCCAGAGGATAAACAGCAAGAGCAGGAAGAGACATCTTCGGGTTTCGTTTAAAAAGGGCCAAGACCAAATATAACTTAATAATGCGTTAATACATGGAAAAGCAAACAAATTGGAAAAGAAAGGAAAACACACAACTCAAACGACAAAAACCAACACCCACCCAGCATTCCCATGGCTCTCCTTTGTACTGTACCCCACCCGCCTTGAAAAATGGTTATGAGGTCAAGGATGATGATGAAAGTTTGGGTTAACCACAACCCTGAAAAACAAATATGATGAGTACACAAGTTATTACTAACTTTGTTTTATTTTTGGTTATATTCATTTTAAGTTTTATAACAGAAGAAAATATAAATATATTTTAATTATAAATACGGCATAAGAAATGCAAACAAAATGCTCAATATTCACTTCAAGAAGCGCTGCTTACAAAACTAAACAATTTAACAAGTTCTAAATGTGGAATTCTTTACTTTGGCAGCAGTTTTTCTGAAGTGAGTACTGACCCAAAAATGGATATACTTTAATGAATGTAAAATATAAAAACATTTCAAATGTACACACACATAATATAAACAAACACCAACCTATAAAAAACACTATTTGGCTTAGTGTTGGCCATTAAAAGCTGACTTTTAAGAAGTTGCATAATTATAAAGAGCGAAAATAATGTTGAATTTAGATGGACAATTTGTACTTATCAATTCAATTCTGAAAAGTTAACAATAATCAGAAACCACAAAGCCACCGGAAACACATTGTTATACATACTTAAGTTAATATTAACTATACGAAGAGCACGATTGTTACAACTTATTTAGGGAAATCGTCCCGCAATAGGATTACTTTACGCCTATGCATATGGAGTGCAATTCCTTATTTTTATTCGTTTCTTCTCCCCTTTCTCAACTCGCTAACAACTCAAATCAAGTGCAGACCAAGTATTATGAATCGGAACAACTTTCAAAGCAAAAACATACTTAAATTAGGTACTTAATCAGCTTATGGATTGCCACTAATTATGTAATTAGCCCACCAGTCAAGCCCAAATCAGTAGACAATCTTAAGTTCAATGACATTGTGCAATTAATCGTACATTCTTATTTTACAACCCGAAACTTAACAACGGAAATGAAGCGCAAACGAAAACAAAAAGTACCCAAAATAAATCCAATTGATCTCATTATGTGATATTTGTCGTAGTGCCCAAAGCGTTCACTGTACGTGTATCAATAACCAAACCATATGAGTTAAGTACAGGGTGTACATTCAGAACACTTGCTCTAAGTAAATTTACTCAAGCCATCCTCCCCCACATCAACTGAGACAGATCCCCAGAACAGCTTTAGTAAGAGTTGACCCAGCGAATTTGGTGAACTATGCAACTTTTTAAAATGTCAGCCTTTAATGGGCCTACTCAAACGTTATAGATAAATCTAAAATACAACACACACATATAAATCTATATATAATAACATGTAAACATTTTTGATTCATGGAAGATCTTGTAAATACCGCGTGTGTACTCTCTATTAGGAAATGGGGAGTCTCTAGACGAAGCTACCCCGAACTCCGAGTTTTTTTTTTCGTTGTTAACGATTTTTGTTTTTGTTTACTATTTTATTGTTTAAAACTTTAAATGTAACTATATGGATATGTGTATATCTCTATATATATTATGTACGTATTTAAGTAGTCAAAAGCAAACCAATTTTTCAAATATTTTCCAAAATGTACCAATCGAAAATGTATCTTCTTGAGTTAAGTGGAATTACTTAAAAAAATGTATCGTACTTAATTTACAAAATAGGAGAAGATGATTCTGGTGCTTATCAAACGCTAAGAGTTTGCCTTATACTAGATCCCTCTTTTCGGCAATCGAAATTCACCATCAAGCCCATTAAAAAATATGTTCACACATTTGTTGCTAAATTTGTTTTTTGTCAATAGCTATGATTTTGTTTAAAATTGGCAAGTTTATTACCTATTTTTCATACTATAAGTTAATAAATTAGAAAAAAAACTACTAAACCGAAAAATTTATTGAATAAACATGAAAGTTGTAATGAAATTATAAAAGCCTTTTACTTTAACTTGCAGTTAAGGGCTGATTGATTTTCCAAACTAACGAGGAACTTTTTGTTAAAATATTCTTTATACTACAAAGTACTCAAATATAGAGGTTTAAAGTAAAGTTAGTATCAAATGATATAAATTGGAAATTTGAAAAATAGTTCTCAATGTATGACTGCTATAAAGGTAGATTAGATTTGGAGTTTAAATAAGCGGAGGCTAATTACATGTCGTGTGTTAAAGGCAAACACCATGAAAATTATCGGGCAAGTGTTGAATAAATATTTTGCAATGGGAATATTATCATTTTCATCTGAAAGGAAAACCGAATCCCCAGATAATAACGAAAGCAGCGTCATGACAACTGTTGATATGTGCAGCCCGTAATATAAGAGGAGCTGAATGAGAGTGGGGGCGGAAAGATTTCATTCATGAATCCGAGAAGTTGCGAGTGGGATGGGAGTGGCATGGCAGGGTTGGTTTCCTTCAACAGAGCCCTGTTAGCGCGAGTCCTTAACAGCATAGTCGTTCTGAGCTTCTGTATGGCGCGTTTTGAATATCTGAGCTCAGTCAGTTTCCGGCCTTCGTTCGGTGCGGATCGCAGTGGCAATTATATCGCGGATTGTTGTGCATCATCAAGCAACCAGAAAGTGAAACCATGTCTGAGGCCAATATTGAGCTGGACTCGAACACTGTTGTGGCACCCAAGTGCGCCAATGTGAACAACAATAATAGTGCCCGCTCCAGTAGAGTGGGTAGTGCATCCTCTGGAGCGGATTCGGATGCGGATGCCCAGCAATTCGGCTGGTGCGGATGGAGTCCGCCGTGGCTCCAGCGCTTCTGCACCGCCAAGTGGGCTCTTTTCTGGCTCTGCTGGGGCGGTGCTCTCCAAGGTGATATTTCGTTCCGAATTATGTACATATTATGTACTTACTTAATTCCGTTAAATGGTTCGTCTCGCAAATTTTCCGCCCACGCTCTGTTTGAATTTCGCGGACGCTTCTTGGTTAAGCGTTAAATTCAAGGAAGTCGACGTTGTAAATTGAATTCAGTGAAGAGTATAATTTTAGAAATTATACCTATTTGTATTTTGAATTTTGAAATAAAACAATTTTTCAAATTATTGCACAAATCAAAAAAGCAACCGGGTATTTGGCAGGTATTCAAGATTCGAGTAATAAAACTGAAATTGTTTTAAGAATTCAATGTTCTATAAATGTTTAATCATGATTTCAAGAATAATTATTTTGTTTCAATTTCACTTAATTTAATTTTTCTTGTTTAGTGTGAAGTTTACACTGTGAACCCGTATTTAAAAATTGGTACAGTGTAATTTTTAGTATAAATGTCCAGATAGACAAACTCTTTCGTCGAATCTTTAATCCGAAAAATTCGAAACCTTAGATAGTAATACATATTTTGAAATGGCTGGCATAAGAATGAACGTATATTGGTTAAAAGAACTTTGAGAACTAATACTAGTTTATAGCCAAAATTCTCCAAGAAGGAGTGTGGTAGTTCCTGGTCATAAATGTTTTTTAGTATACGTTTTTTTAAAGATTTATTTAAAACATTTTTTTTTGTATTTCCGATTTCTTAATTACATCTCGAGTTGCGCTAACCAATATAGGTGATATATGTTTCAGTTTACAACTAAAATGTCACTCTTTAATCTTGGCGAATAAATGAATAGGCTACATTGAGTATATTGTAAGCTACAGCTCGAAAAATTATGAAAAAACGGATTTCTTTGCAAGTTTTTACGATATCAACAGACGGCCTACTGTCACTAAATTGTTAAAAAATTCAACATTTCAGAGTTAGCCGAGTAAAAATACAAAAACTAAAATTTCCAATTCCAAATCTAAAGTTTTTACAAAAAAATACGAAATACGAGTTAACTAAATTGATACGAGTTTTTAGTTTACGTATATACAAAAACCAGTCACCTCTTATATACCCCAACTTGTACGTACGATTTCTTTATTAAGGTAATTATATTTTCAAGACAAGACAATTGTCCAGCTGTAGAAGGGTTTGAAATAATTTTTCAAAGCACTCCTGAATGCACCTTTGGCTTCTTGAATATATTGAATCAACAAGGCCATATTTTTCTTGATTACAAGACAAACTTTTGCCAAGCAAACTTTTAGCGAGCCTGTATCCCAGAAGTCTCGAGTTGGCTAAGACAATGCAAAGACGGAGGCGATGGCGATGGCGATGAGGACATCCACATCCGCATCGCTTCATTAGCATCCTGGGCATTCCCAGCCTCGGCCAGCAGGACTGTGTGCAACAGATAAGAATTCGTCCAAGGAGCTGGGAGGAGGAAGGAGCAGGGAGGTGGCACCCAACCCGGCTGGAGTTCCTGTGAATGGAAGCGAATTAAAAATTAATATCTGCCCGGAGCAGTCAAGGGAGCTGATGGTAGCTCTAGCCCGAGGATGCATTAACCTCAAAAAATCACCGCACTTTGAATAGTTTGAAAGGCCCGTTGAAGTGTAAATGGGCCCAGTTTTAGCCTGCCATTTTCCAAGGAGTTTTCTGAGTGGGTGTTTGAGTTCGAGGCCCCAGCCCCTTGACGTTGTCATAGGCTATAGGTTATATGGTTATACCGGAATCGGGGGGTGCGAGAGGGCAGCGGCATAAATCAAAACAATGTTAATCGCTGTTTACCCAACTCCAGATCCCCCGGCTGATCCCAACTGCAGTTGGGTGCTGGTGCCCATGGCGACGGCTCAGTTCCAGCCTCAGTTTCCCACTCCTAATGGGTTCAAGCGGTTAATTAAAATTCGCCAATTTCACGAAAGCTGACGACACGTTTGTGCCTGTTCCGGGGGATTAGGCTGTGTTCCAGGGATTGGATGAAATCTGCAAAAATGCACTCGCTGGATGGAGGCCAGCATTAGCAATTTTGGATGGCTGCCAGCGAAGATGCAAACGTGAGGGGAAACTAGAATTTAGGCTTAAATTTGTTAATACTATCATCTACTTTCTTTATTATTAAATGTTAGATTCACATAAAATACAAATTTAGAAAGCCCCAAAAAGAATTTTATATTTTTTTAATTAAAACAATTTTTGTATTAAAGTTAAAGCAGCTATTTTTTATTAAATTTTAGTATAAGCCTACACAAATTATTTAAAGTATTTAGTATTTAAAAAAGGAAAGTCTCTTTACGTTTTAAATCACTTTTCCTTTATGAAGGACCACATAAAAAGCACATTTTCCTCTTATATCTTTTATTATTTCAAGAAGTCATGGCAGTCTAAAGAAATTTGGTATACATTTGGTATGAATTTTATAAATTCAATTATAAATAAAATCAAATTAAACTTGGTATAACTTCATCAGTAAGTAAAAAATCAAGCCATTAACAGTAGGTTAGGCCTTAAATAAAAAAAGATATTCTAGTCCACAGTTTTCACAGAAAATGTTTCATGCATCTTTAGGAAAATAAAAAAAGGCTTTTTTTAAGTGAAAAGTCAAATCTTTTGTACAGAGCTCACCATATTTGTAGCACCCAGGTGAAACTTACATAAAACTGAAGTTAATTAAATTATAATGCAATACTAAAATGATTCATTGTTAAGCTACGATCGCTGTAGAATGACTCACGCGGACATCTCCGGCGGGATGTTGGTCCATGTCCAGTATTTATGTCTTGGCCGTGTGCTGTAAGCAAACTGAATCTATATCCATGCAGTTCTTGCAGCTCGAATGGTCTGCTGGCATCTGTTGCACCGGGCTGCTCTGGTGGATGGGCTGTTGTTGGGAACACTTCCGGTTGGTTGTGGATGTGGGTGACATCCCGCCCGTGGCTCGGCTTACGGATGCGGATGAGGTG